GAACCGTCGTTTACGGAACTCAGTTGGATTATGACACTAAGCGTACTGAACTCAGAAAATAGGAATAAAGACCGTCATCTATGAGTGGTACGTCGAGTACTTGCCAACAACGACGATTTACCATTCTATCATTATGGGGGACAGTTCTGAGACATAGACACCTACTGATTACGCTAAGCATCCGCTACCATTTGTCGTAGCACAAACAACGACATGGTGATTCGTCGCATTTTCTATTCTTTTCTACAACTGAACCGAGTATGGATAATCTCACGACTGACAAAGTACAAGCGGTGTAGCTGAAAACACTAATAATAAATCTACTCCCATATCGTTGTGGGATAATCAGGGCTTAACGAGAATCATCTGTGCACTTTTCAGAAAATGCTTATTAGAATAGAAAATTCGGCCTCAGCGTTTCTACGATTTAACCTCACATCACAAGATTGATATGAAAATATTCCTGCCAACTTCCGACACTTCGCTTTTCTCAGAGCCAATAATTTAAGTTAATAGTCCACAGTAGATGGTCCGGTTGTGGTTTTCGTTTTCCTGTCGTTCAAGTCGGCAGAGCACCACTCGAAAGGGAAATTTTACTCGGCAATGCCCTTATGTATAGGACGATCATTGGTGATGCCAATTGGCCGTTGATAGTAATCAATTTTTCAACGCATAATCCATCCTGTAGGAATCAGTATCATTAACAGCTAACTCAGAACGCAATTATACTTTGAAGACCGATTTTTCTCCGGAAATCGACATTAGCAGCTGATAATAGTATCTTTTATGAAAGATGAAATCATGAAAGAAGTCGGTTTCAAAAGTGAAGTCTTAACACGTGAATCGTCAACAACCTTGAATGAGTCCATGTGCTTCTTAAGTTCATAGAGCTTACTGGAAGCTTTAAGAAGCCTCTAAAGAAGTACAAGTATTAATCTATCTATAAGCTCACCATTGATTGGCATCTCTGGGTCAACTAGTCATCAATTGTCTTACTACGAATGTGAGAACCTAAGTTTCTTGTTAGAGACATTCGCTATGATATTTAGGTGAATGGGAATTAAGATAAGAAACAATGTAGCACCCTATTCCTTTGTAGCAAATGTGAGAGAAATGAAACGTTAATAAGATGGCGGTCAGAAAAATATAGCGCAGAGTATTCTTATGAACAGAGCTAAGGTTTGTCCAACTCTGCCCAATTTCGAAATCGAAGCCGTATAATTTGCCAAACGACCGCAGACGATCAGATTATCTTATCTGAAAATTGCTGAAAGAGCTACGCTGATTCCAGTGACTTCACTGACTGCAGGAGACTGCCCTTATAATCGAATTTTTTTGAACGTTTTCCGGAATATCCAACGCTCGCACATTCGTCATGTTGGTAAAAGACGTTTAAATTAACAGAATATAAATTTCAGTTTCAATATACGAGCTTGCGTTCCAGTCATATGGGGATTTGTTAAATTTTATATTTTACGAATTGAATATGGTTCTAAATGAATATTAAATGAAGGACTTTAGGCGCTGAGGAAAGCAAGGAAGATATATGTCTCACAAGTGAAGAAAAGCAAGGAATTCGAAATTGGCCATATTTCTAAATGTTAAAGAAACCACTCCCAAGCAGGACTGTTTGACAGTTTTATGGGGCTGCAGACAACGCTCAACTTTGCACCAGTAATTCTAATTAGCTGTAAAAAAATGGAGAAGGAAATTATAGCAATAGAAACTGTAGAAAACAATAGAATCCCTCACGATTTGAAGCCATTAGATATCCTTTCCCCAGCATCATATTATTGTCTTCAGGAAGTCTCCCATATCTGTCACCCTTATTTTCCCACTGCCTATTTCTCTTCTATTCTGATCTTTTGTCACTGGGTCAAGCTACCTCTAGTGCGCCGCCCTTGAACTTGTTCAGCTCGCTTCACCCTCCACATACACCGGAGTTCCTGGATAACGTTGTACATCTTAGTCGCTCGTTCCCAAGCAACAAACCTCATTTCGCTGCTCATAATTCGTTCCGAGAGTGCACAACTGCTGTCACGTCACAGCCGCGAAGATCTCACTGTCGCAATTTCGCATGGGCCATCTCTCTGATTCACCAGCTATTCTCACTCGCCTCGCTTGATGTTTACTACCATGTGTACTCGACATGTTCTTGACAACGCAACAACCGAACAAGCTCTCTCTCTATCAGAGATCGATATTTTCTCAGCTTTCTTTTGATCAGTGGCTTGGTTACAACATCTTTATCGCGGCCAAATCTCTGTCGGTATTGTACTCGATACTGATTTTTTATAGAGAAACAGAAAACTCACTATCAGTTTAAGGATTCAATCTATAACGTGGGAGCTCTCAAACAAACTAATAGACATTCTTCGACATCTTACTGTAATTAATCTTTTGTTTCACGTTTCTCCAGTTGAAAGTTTATGTTGCTCAAAACGTCATGTGGAAGTGCAGAAAAAAAACTGTTGCCTAGTACCTGAGAACATTTTGACGATGATTTAGTGAAGTATTGAGCTCTTATTGCTTGATTGCCAATAAAATATGTCTTTTGACTACATGTAATCCGAATTATTTGCTTGCTGAATCCTCATAGTAGTTGTTTATTCGAACTACATGCCAGAACTTTCTTGTTTTTTCGATTTCTCGATATGAAAGCAAGGAAACTCTTGATAGCTTATGATAGTGGGTGGATTGGATATGAGAATGTGATTTCACGATAAGGAAGGATAACCTGGAGGAAACATTTTTTCATGTTGTAGATTTGGGACCCTTTTTTGAATCGCATGGCGATGACAAGATTAGGCGTTTCCAACAAAAAGCACAGAAATGTGCTAGTGCACCTTATTTTCACCTATTCCGATCCTTTCTACAGCACTTTCTCTATATGTAACGTTTGAAAATTTTGCTTTTTTATTCGATTCGCAGCTGAGTTCCTCGTTAATCGGATGCTTCCTGATAGGGCAGACCACTTTCACCTGTTCTTCACACCATAGCTCTCATTACTGAGACGCTTGACTCAGCGTCCGAGTGACCTTGCCGTCGTCACCGTGATGTGCGCACATCGAATCGACTTTGTTTTTCCCGCTACAAAATTTGCCTCGGGTGAATCCTAATCGCCATTAGTCTTTGTGTTCGTAATTCGGCAATCCCGCATGACCGTTGATCGACCGCTTCCGACGGCAATTGTGGGGTCGTGGCCGATCGAAATGAGCGACTAATGGAGCAACTCCCCATGGACGTCTGAGCTCGAACCTGTCACGTCGCCGAAGCCATTATGTCCACATTATGAACTCGAAAGGGAAGTATGATTTCCGAGCAGCATATCTCCAGGATCTGTGAAGAGTGTGTAGTTCCCATAGATGTACAAGTTATTCACTTTAGAGCATAAACAAGACTTGTTTGAACTAGAGAGAACCGTACTCATAGGAAAGATCAGCTCACTTGCTTTTCCTTTTTGCTTACAAACGTTTATATTCATCGGCGAGTTACGTCAGTCGGGAAAAATGGTGAGAAACTAGGATGCAAAAGAATAATATGTGCTCAAAATAATTAGCATTTGCAGTGCACTTTTTGGAAAAACATTTAGCTTCCAGATAACAACAGCTTTCGAAGAGAATAGTTGGGAAAGTGGAACCTATGCATGGTGAAACGTTCAATTAAGATGTTTAGTTATGTGAGGAAGCTCTATCTGCAATGCAAACACGGCAAAGCTTCAATTTTGCACAAAGACTGGGAGTATTTGGACCAGGAGAATTTTTTGAATGTAGATTCTCGTTTTCGTCCTTTCATTAACGGAATGTCGGGCAGTAATTCTGTGGATTATCGGCATTTCGTCGTAAATGGAGGTGTAATATATCATATAGCGCCAGCGCTATTTTTCTCTACAACGGTTTCTCAGCTAACGTGGATTTGTTCACAAATCTTATAGAATGGAAATTTGAACGATATAGGCTGGATTTCAGCGAACATGTGCGCATTAATATGGACTCTATACTCATGCACCACGTTGTAAAACCCTTGGAGCCCTGCTTCCGCTGCTCCCGTTGTGCCCTCCAGGCCAATGGTGACAGGGGCGGGCATTCCGAATGCCACCACCACTACCACGAAAAATGAATGAGCAGTGCCGGTGCTCACGTCACCTATCGCCAATGTCTCCAGCTTCTCACTAGTAATAATGTACTAGTGAAACCATTATTTTTTTCCTTTATCCTTTTCTTTATTCTATTCTCTTCTACCTCTAGTCCATTCTGTTATCTTTTTGATTTTCAAAAAATTTTGTTCTTTCATCCTGGCTTTGGAGGGAGTTTCAATCTATTGCTACTCCTCTATCTTCCTAAACCTTTGTCACGTGTAGTGTGAAAATTTCGAGGTTTATCAGCCAGATCTAGATCTTTCTAACCTGATAGTTTCTCTATATGACAATAAGAATTTTGATTCTAAAACCTATCATTGAATCTTTCCAAACACCTTGATTTTCTGAATAAAACAGCATACTCTACTGAAGTACTTTCACATTCAAAATTTTATCAAAAATGGTATACGGTAGAATAGAGTATGAGCATAATATGAAAGCAAATTCGTTTTTGAGTCGAGTCGAACTGAGACAGTGACGATGAGAAGTTAGTAGGGAAATATATATTTGTTCTTTCTATTCCAATTTACTTCTCCGGGCAGCGGAGTGAACCACGAAGTGTATTGTCTGCTCATCATCTCTTGGTAGTACTGCACAGAAAAATTTGCATTACATAGGTCTTCTTCGCAGCAGTCATCGCAGTTAACCTTGAAAATTAGAAGATCAAAAAAAATTTGTTCTCCACAAATTCGGCTCCGCGGCAAATTTTCCAACATATGCCTAAGAGAATTTAGTGGTAAGCAAAAATTCGACCTCAGACTGGAGTTGAACCGCGTTCTACCTATGCCAGAAGCGTGTGCTACCATTACGCTACCGAGCTATGATAGAGCAATATTGAACAATGAGTGGTGGGTAAGAGGTCGCCTCAGTGGTATAGTGGTAGCACTCGCCTTCGGTATTGGTGGAACGCAGGTTCAACCCCTTTCTGAGGTCGAGTTTTTGCTTACCACTCAATTCTCTCAGATATACTTGAAACATTTTAACATTGTGAAAAAGCAGCAAAAACATAAGAAATCCTTGATTCGCAAGATGGTCTTCCTGGTGCGGACATACCGGCCTCAACCTCTACGACCTATGAATTATGTTAACTATCTATCAACTTGCGTGCAGGAAGGAACGAGATCGATAGATATCAAATAAGCGCGACCGATAAATTATGTTAACTATCTATCAACTTGTGTGTAGGAGGGGAATGAGGTCGAAAGATGTCAAAAAAGCGCGACTGCGATGTCCTATCGAAAATCCTCGCGGGCACTTGTTATCTCCTATAGGAATGCATTTTACTACTGCTGTCGTGAAAGAAGGCCTAGCGCTATCCTCCACTGTTGTTGTGCGTTTTCATGCAAATTTTGCCCTGGCCGTTGATTTTTCTTTCAAACACCACGTGTGCATGACGCGGAACCATTATCTAGCGCATGCATCTTCAAGTCGTAGAAACTCCTCTACGTATGAATAATCGGAAATCTCTGCTTAAATAGAAAGTCAGACAACGGTGTCCCTTCCACGCAAAAATATCATGACTGGATACTCTTGTTTCAGCCTGTACTCAAAGAGAAGAATGAATCTCCTTGCTGGTCTGACTAGTTCTGCGCTTGTCATAAAACATAGCGTTTTTCGACTGATGAGTACCAAAGAATAGCAGTGATATCGTGCAAAATATTTCGAGTCAGGACTCAGCATTTTAAACGATTGAAAGAGGAATACTGTACCTGGTTGTGACCGTATCCGACGGAATCGCAGAGTTCGGAGCAACGTTCACCGCATCCTCTCGTCACCGATGTGAACGCTTTATTGATAGTGTTCACTGCAGTCTGCAAAACTCAGTTTCAGCTTCACTCATCTTCACAAATACAGCGACAGTGAACGAGCATGTCAGATAGTAAGCTCGACGTCAAAATTCGAAACAATGACGACATGTTCAGTGTGTCCTAGGCTATAGAGAAAAGTCCAAAGGCAGTAAATTTGATAAAATTTTTTTTCCGAACTCCGCAACATTTGTCTGAGAAGTTCCTAATTGCTCGAGCTCTCTGATTTCTCCAAGCAGATTTGTAGGAGATTATGAGTTCCAGATAGCCAATACAGTGCATGTAGTCATCCTTTTAAATTCAAGGACATGTATTTCTCTCAATTTCTGTTTTCTTCGTGTCATGTTTGCTATCTCTTTCATTTCTTCGAATTCGTTAACATCTCTTACCACACAGAACTTCTCCCAAGGAGCGCACAACTTCGAAGTCTCATCCGCATCGAACAACACCAGTGACTCGTTCGCGCACCACGCATCCCTGTGACAGTAATAAGGTAAGTTTTTTCCACGCAAGTACAGTAATCACAACACTTGAATCGCGGTTATCACAGGAACAAACTCTTTGAATTCGCCCAGTAAAAAGTAGATCTAATGACTACAACTGTAGAGTTCTTTAGGAAACTGTGAACGAGTTTTTAACGGGAGCGATTGGTGTACGCTTATATGACAACATAATGTAAAACCTATCCATGGTGTTAAAAAGGCAATAACGAAATGTATTCAATGCATATACCTATGATCAAGGTCGTAGAGTTCGTTGTATGAGAAGGAACACGAATAGCACTTTAGGCTAAGCGAGTACTGCAGCATACAAACAAGCAAAACCAGTACAGCGACAACGAGCGACGCTAGCATGACAACCCGACGAGTGATCAGCCGAGAGTCGCGACAATGTTCTCAAATTCGACCGTTCCTCTACGTTGGCGGACTGGCAGCGTTGTCGCCGAGAACGCTTTGTGAGACCTTTCCTGGAATTCATTTAATTCAAACATGGCCATTACCTCGAAATAGTAGAGCTTTCGTTCCATCACGAAAAAAAACCGATTTAAAATAAATGACCAAGTAGATAGCCTCAGTCTGATTCATTTCTGCTCTTTCAATCAAAACTGAAAGCCTTAGCTTTCTCTAAAATTTTTTTCTATTCGTATAAAAGCTATTCAGCTAGTGACTAGATTAATGGACTCGAGATTAAGGAGTAGATGAATTGGTTAGATACATGATTTCAAGCACATCGAGATAGATATGCTGCTTTGTGACTCACGAGAACAACATTGCCATCGATAAATAATAGGTTTGTGACAAAATTGAGAAATATCAAGTTTTTCAATCAGTGGACTGTGAAATTGCTTTTCGCGGTAACTCTCAATTGTCAATGGCAAAAATAATTCCAGCTTAGAATACGAGGGTCATGATTGTTTGAATAACTCACTGGTGTTGTCGTCGACTGTCGAATGTTAGAATATAAGTATTGCTCAGGATACTCTACTAAGCCGATTTTCATTTATGATTTTCACCAATGAACGATATACTTGTTGAGATTGCTTGGCTTGAATATAATACACATAATTGAGCATTCAAAAGAAGTTTGTTGATCTTTTTGGATTTGTTAGGTGTTCAGCGTTTCTTAGGACCAAGGCTACTCGAAAACTTCGCAGAAGCTGTATACTGAGGTTATTTATCGGCCACTCTGCTAATGTTTGATTTCTGTATTTCTACAAGCACTTGGCTGCCTATGCTCCGTGCCAACCTCGTCCACTCGGTCAGTGCACGGCAAACATGAGTTGATCACATAGCGCTTGAAATTCTGTAAACCCCTTCTTACTTGAATTTAGTTCCTATCTTACTAAGACACAGTTTTATTGAATTAGCAATTGTCAGGCTAATTCTGCACTTGAACAAGTATCAAGAAACTATTAAGTGAAATCTGATGGAAAGCTTCTTGGAAGGTGCGCTGGATAAATGTCTATGAAATTGAGAGATAAATTAGATGAGCTCAAGGTATTATAAGAGAGTTCTCGGAATTCAACAGATGAGGTAATGATCATTGGCGTTGGTGAACAATCGAAAGATAATAGCTGTGTTATTTGGTAAAGTGTATGGCTTTGGGCTTCAATAGAATGAAAAATCTACTTTCTAGAGAGAAAGGGAGCAGTAAGGCGGGGGCGCATTAGGCATGGACATCGATTATGGGCAGGTAGCGCCCTTCGCATGTCTTCGACGACATCCGGTACTTTGAAAAGCTTTTGTGCTTGTTAGATTTTATTAGGTTTCCAACAGAGTCAAACACTGACAATACAACATAAATTGGGCAATCTATGCTTCTGACTGTTGTTAGGCGCATTCTTGGTCAGCACAAATGAGCTGCATTACTCCAAACACGGGACCCATCTGGCCTCATTTTTAGTTTCAACAGCATTGCATGGTTCTGAGAGATTAATAGATGTTTCCAAATTTCAACAGCGCCTAATAAAGCCAAAAAAGCGAGAAAGAGTAAGGAAGCATTACTAAGCAAAGATTAATGGCAGTATCAGCAGTCAATGGACGCTGTTTTCAGAAAAGAAGTGATTCTGGAACGATAGTATATGGCAATAGAGTTACCTAGAGATATAGGTCAGCGTGGTCATAATTGTTACGACTGTTTCGTAAAATTAGTCATAGCACTCAGCTTATGCTCGAATTCGATCCGAGGCAGTGAGATGGTTATTTACGGGTAATGACGGAAGTTCTGCCAGACTTCCTGCATGCGATTATGACCATTGGCAGGTATTGTCATGTACTGTGTATACATTCACGGCAGATACTGCTCAATTCTGAGCTCGACGATTTTTGTCTAGAGATCAAATGTGCTAGCTATCAATTAATTTCCATACCCAATCTTCGCTGGTAAATTCTCACGATAATTAATGTGGTGTAGGTGCTTCATATGGCTCGTGTTCCGGTGCTTTCAAATGAAAGTTTTTGACAAAACTATAGGAACTGAGTATTCCTATGCATTTATCGGTCTTTCGATTATTAGGATGATAGCTGAGTCTCTGAAAAGCATGTTTCTTTGACAAGTTGCAAAAAGATTATATGTGCTTTCATTGTCCATTCGCACGTACTCTAAAAGTTTGTTGCTTGATCCCTTTTTGAAGGCTGCTTATTACTTTTGCTCAAAATGTTCTGGCCAAGAAAAGTTTCAGTTTTCTAAAGAACAAGCAGCCAACCCTTTTCTTTTAGTTAGCTAAGGAAAATTATTTCAAATTCACATACAAAGGCAGCAAGTATTTTTTTTTTTGTTCATTAAGAATCACCGTAAACATAGAAAACAGTGAGAAGTTTATAAAGCAGGTATGTTTACGTAAGAAGGATACTGATCAGGTAGCTGATCGAAATGTACAGTGCTTTGTTTTTATCACGGAAATGCTTTTCAGCGCGGTTCTGCACAACAATCAATTTGATTCCCGGATTTCGCATCACCGCCCCGGGCCATATGAAGGTGCTTCACATCCCTGTCTTAGACGACGAGTCAACTGATTTGTCTCCCTATTTCACTGTAGTTTTCAAGGTAAGTGATTTTCAAAATTCGTAGCAAGAAATAAAATTTTTGATGAAAATACCAAGAAAACTCTAACCTTCGCCATGATGTAATTTTAGACTTTTCGAAGAAAACATCCGAGTTTCTAATCATCAAGCAAACCCTTATCAAGTATCATCGTTCGCATATCTACATAGGAATATTATGAAAACGAGATAAATCAAAATCATTTGTAATTACAAGTTCTTTATTTTCCTTCCCTGCCTTTGGCATTAAGGGACTCACCATGGCCATAGAAGGTTTCGAAGATTATCTCAAAGTGAATGTAGTTTGGACATTCGGTATAATAATATGCATATACTCACATTCGTACTAAACGTATGGTTAGTGTCACGTGTGTGAAAATATGAGTTCGTCAGCGAAACGAAAAAAAAGGTGTCCATTCTTTAAAATGATCAACTCAGGAATAGGATAAATAATCAAACTTGGTCTTCTTGAATCGATAGTTCATGAATGGTCTAACTTTTTTCTAGAGCAGTAGGTAGCGAATTTATTTGAAGTATTCAATAAAAGCTGTTTGATGCGACTAAATCTTGCCTATTAGTTTTCATT